TTTATTTTTAGTTGTTAAAGGAAAGAAACTCTCCCCAACTGGAATGTTTGGGGATATAAGTATCCCCAATTTGTCCCACTTGTGTTCTGTTCAGCTGGAGAGAATTTTTGGTTTGAGAGTTATTCTGAAAGAAGTTTCTAATTGGTCTAGAGTTAAAAAAAAGGAATGTTGGTAGAAGGAAAATATATTAAAATGAAGGCTTTGTTTGTTGTCCTGGTGATTGACAGTTTTCAACAAATGGCCCATGGACAGGTTCACAGTATCCCCAATTTGTCCCACTTGTGTTCTGTTCAGCTGGAGGGAATTTTTGGTTTGAGAGTTATTCTGAAAGAAGTTTCTAATTGGTCTAGAGTTAAAAAAAAGGAATGTTGGTAGAAGGAAAATATATTAAAATGAAGGCTTTGTTTGTTGTCCTGGTGATTGACAGTTTTCAACAAATGGCCCATGGACAGGTTCACAGTGGCGGGGATCTATGAATCCTATACTGTGGTTGGGATCTGATAATCAAAATCCAGTGTCTAAGAATTTGATGTGGGGTGAAACAGGAGTACCTCAAGAAAACCCACTTTCACAGGACATGTGCCGAATAATCTACCTGTCCTGTGGCCGACATGAAAAATAATACATAGCAGTGTCTAAGAATTTGATGTGGGGTGAAACAGGAGTACCTCAAGAAAACCCACTTTCACAGGACATGTGCCGAATAATCTACCTGTTAAACAGTTAAAACTAGAGTACTAGGAAGTGTATATTTGGTGGTATGTTTTCTGTGTTTCTCTGCAGTAAAAGTTGTATGGAAATATTGTTTTGTGTGGCATGCCGGAAATGATGTGAAGGGCAGAAGTTGACGTGTTTCTGCTTTCTGACGATAATCTTTTGCCAATCAAAAGTTGGGTTTGTTTTGTGATTCCTCAAGATTTTTTACAAAAGTCAATTGTCTTCTTAGGTGAATTCATTCTAAAATTGGTTTTTGAATTTCCAGTGTAAGTGTCCAGTGATTATTTCTAGGGCCCATCAAGGTGGAGGGAGTAAACATTTCTGTGACTTTAATACTTGCTTGTGTTATCTGTTTTGCATACTTTTCTAGTTGGGATTTATTTTTCATTGTAGTGAATCATCGTTTATAGTTGTCACTATTGTTTCTATCGGAAGTTATCCTGTTCGTAAAGAACGTATAGAAATCAGTTCTTGAATTTTTTTTTGACACTTTCAATTTCAAACTCATTTATTTATTTAACATTTGTTCTACTCCCAGTTTCTCTATGACGATTTTAAACCCATGGTCCTCAACTGTGGTCCACTGACCTCAAGAGTCTGTGACAGTAAAATTAGAGTTTTCATATTAAGTTTTCAAAAAATAAGAAGAGACAATACTATTTTTTGATTAAGTACAAATAATATTGTGGGTAAAAGTTCAGTAGTTATTTGCTGATTGTTTAGTCTAGGTTTTATTTGAAGGATTCTAAGCGTCTCCTTCACCCGTAGCGTGGTCTCGTTTTTGACTTTACCAATTACTTTGAATATCATGAGGATTGAGAACACATCACACTTACTTAACACATGCCGCATTATTTGGTGTTCAGTGTTTAAAAATAATAGTTTTTTTTTTACATAACAGTGCAGGATCTGTAAAGTATAATGCAAGAAAATATTAAACTTGGTTGTCAATTTTTTGCATATTATCTAGGACAAACCACTTTATTGAAAGCCTAGCTTGGTTTTATTTTCAAGATATGTCTCCTTACAAACTGATAGCTGATTGGCACTCAACTGACAATTTGCGCGTCTTAGGTTCGAATACTGCTAAAGAACATGTTTGCCCTTTCAGCCATAGGGGAACTATAATGTGATGGTCAATCACACATTTTCATTATTAAAAGAGTAGCCCAAGATTTGGTTGTGGGTGATGGTAAGTAGCTGCCTTCCCTCTAGTCCAGGGATGGTTAGTACAGATAGCCCTTGAGTAGCTTTGCAGAAAATTCAACAAGCAAACAATTATTACAAATTGGTCTTTTTTTTTTGCCTACTTTATATTTTTTAATTTTTCTTTATAAAGAATTGTAAAATACTTATGATAACTGAAAACTGACATATTTCATCGGGACTACTTTGCTTAAAAAGTGACTCTTTCAGACAGGCATAAAGAACAATATGTTAGCAAAGTCTATATTGTACTTGTTATTGGCTCCGTAAATCTCCAGAAAAACAATTAATTGTCTCACTTCTTACAGAGAAGGTGTTTTAAACATGTCTCAGTGTACAACTCAGAGTCTCAGCTTGGCAGTGTCCGAGTGTTTCTGGAAGATGGTGAAAGAATCGGTTGAACAACAGGCTGATGCTTTTAAAGGTAAAGTCATCTTCGGAAATAAATTGACAATAATTTGGAAGTTCTGTGATATTTAGATGATTAGTAAAAAAATTATACTTGGATGACAAAAATAGTTACTTCAAAAAAAATGTATGTTGGGTCAAACTAACTTGATCTTTATTAGTTCCAAACTTAACCTTAATGTCCAGTTTCTTCCTCAGAGGTTGTTTTTAAGCATGTCTTGTTGCATGTGACATCACAGAAGCTGTTTAAAGTAAAAGAAGTATTTGAATTTTTAATAACCCTTTCAACTAACTATCATAATGTTGAATCAGAGTTTGCAAAGGAAAAACAAAAAAGAAGATTTCTAATTAATAAGAACTTTTTCATATATAAACACTTTTTAAGTGATCACTCCCGTGTGTATCCAATCGTTCGATCTATAATACATTTCTAGAAAGAGAACTGTTTATTTTAAATTGGTGGTTCCTCAGTGAAAATGCTGTTTTCAATAGAAGAAACCTGAACTGTATGCAGTGTTTTGATGTTACATTATTCCTTTTAGTGTTTTGAGAACAAAAATAATGTAGAATTTCTTCTGTTTCAGCCACTCTTGTTTAATTTGTTGTGTATCATTATGTTTGAAATGTCTTCCACTCTTGTTTAATTTGTTGTGTATCATTAGGTTTGTAATGTCTTCCACTCTTGTTTAATTTGTTGTGTATCATTATGTTTGTAATGTCTTCCACTCTTGTTTAATTTGTTCTGTATCATTATGTTTGTAATGTCTTCCACTCTTGTTTAATTTGTTCTGTATCATAATGTTTGTAATGTCTTCCACTCTTGTTTAATTTGTTGTGTATCATTATGTTTGTAATGTCTTCCACTCTTGTTCAATTTGTTGTGTATCATTATGTTTGTAATGTCTTCCACTCTTGTTCAATTTGTTGTGTATAATTATGTTTGTAATGTCTTCCACTCTTGTTTAACTTGTTGTGTATCATTACGTTTGTAATGTCTTCCACTCTTGTTTAACTTGTTGTGTATCATTACGTTTGTAATGTCTTCCACTCTTGTTTAACTTGTTGTGTATCATTATGTTTGTAATGTTTTCCTACCCACTGAATTTAGAAAAAAATCTTAACACTGTGTTTGTTCAAAATGTTACTCCAAACACAAAGTTTTTTTATTGTATAATAAATATTTTTAAATCTGTTGTTAAACATAATGAGGGTATACATATATATGTGTACAAACACACACACACACACACACACACACACATGTACAATCAAAGTGATCCGTTCTAGAAACAAGAAAGGATCTCTCACTATTACAGAAAGTAAGCTTTTCGATCATACAAAGTATTAGTTTTTTTGTAGCACACATTGTGGAAAAGTTCATGTTTTTTTTCAAACATTTTATGGTGCAGTAACTTTTGTGGTGATAAATAAATATTTGTTATTTTTTAACCCTGAATGGGAGGTTATTTTTCGCCTACTGTTTAATGGCTCTGTTTTTAAAAATACATAAAGGATACTTTCATATGGAGTGAAAATTTGGTTTAATATCATAATTATAAAAATACAAAGAAGTATAGAAATTCTCTCTCTCTCAGAAATTTCATCTGGTCTCTCTGTTCATAGAGTTGTTGCAGTTAATCAAAGGTGATTGGTCTCTTAACTTATATTAGGAGTTTCAATGAAAGTTTATACATAGTGTTTCTCACTGAAACACAATTCTTCAAACAGTTTTTATTTATAGTTTCTGTTAAGTTAAAGCTAAAAGTGTTAACTAAGAGTTAGTTTCATTATAAGACTGATAAGGTTGTACTGATGAGAATTCATGTTAGATAAATAATGTATTTGGTTGTTGAAGCCACGGAACACTAAATATTTATTCAGTTTGGTTTACTTTATCTTCCAGCTACTCGATTTAATCTTGAAGTTGAATGGAAAAACAACTTTCCAAGGCTTAGAGAACTCGATAGAGTAAGTTGTTTTTTTCCAGTTTCAAAATGCAAAATGAAAGATATTTTCAATTAGTATTTTAACATTTCGTCAATTTTCAAGTTATATAGTTGTACCAGCATTCCTCTCCGTCTTGAGGAGTATACAAGTGTATGCGTAAGTTGATAAAAATCGTCTCGTGATTTGTGTTTGATCTATATTTGAACTTACTTTTCATTTGTTAGCACGTGTTAATATACATAATGATAAAGTAAAACTAAAGGATTGTTTTCGGTTGTATTCTAATCATATGACAATATGTATCTATGCTATACTCGTACCATCTGTTGTACATAACATTAAAGATGTCAGACTTTAATATTTCTGTGTTCAATCAGAGAACTGTTGTACTGTTTCACTCTGTTTTTGAAATGAAATCCAGGTTTTTAGATTTTGAGTAGATTCACATTTTACATCGATGAAGTGTGAAATTACTTTCAAGAAAGTTACAAATCTCGTACTTTATATATCCCATGATTCAACAGTGTGTGTGGTGGGGGGGGGGGGGAGTTAACCCCCTTTTCTGAACAGCATATATCTATTGAATATATATATGTCCATGTTTCTATTTTCTAGATAAATTATGTTATTTTTGAGTTAGCTCTAGTGTGGAAAATAATTAGTGTAATTTTATTAGTAAAGTTATAAACTCTTCAGGATGAGCTGTTTGAAAAGGCTAGAGGAGAAATTCTGGATGAAATTGTGAATCTGAGCCAGCTAAGCCCTAAACATTGGTGAGTCTATATAAGTCTACTCTGTACGATATTGTTTTATCATGTAGAACACTAGTTCTATTTTGTAAAATAATAATTCTATACGATATTGTTTTATCATGTATAAAACTAATTCAGTTTTGTAAAATAATAAGAGTCTACTCT